TCCTGGCCTCCAAGGAGCACTCTGGCTGCACTATACAGGGCCGCTATATCGGAATCGATGTGTGGCAGTGGACTTTGAGTGAGTCAGGAAACAAAAAGCCATTTCCAAATATGAGGGACAGGTCCTTACAGTGGTATATGCATTTGAAAAAGCACACAACCAACTTTCTCTCTGTTTCTTTCTTTTTTTTTTTTTTCCTCTCTGTTTCTTTTTCATGGGTATATATCTATAGACAGGAGGGGATGTGAGTGGGAAGGATACACATTGAATTCATGAAAGTAGTTGCCTATGAGAGACACCAGTGGTTAAGTGTGCTGGGCTGCTAACTGAAAAGTCGGTAGTTCAAACCCACCAGCTGCTCCACAGGAGATTCTGTGGAGTTATAGCCTTGGGGACTCTATGGGACAGTGCCATTTTGCCTTTCAGAATCACTATGAGTCAGACTTGATTGGACATCAATGGGTCAGTGAGTTTGGGGATGGAGGAAAACAGGAGCTCCATATTAATTTCCTATTGCTACTTCAACAAATTACACACAGTTAGTGGTTCCAGAGAAGATAAATGTATGCTTTTACAGTCCTGGAGATCAGGGGCCTAAGTGGTTCCATTGGGTTACATCAGTGTCTGTATGGCTGAGTTTGTTCTGGAGCCTCTGGAGGGGAATCTGTTTCCTCACTTTTCCTAGCTTCTGCATTCTTCGGTTCCTGGCCACATCTCTAAATCTAACCCACCTGCCTCCCAGTTCCTCCTCTAAGGGCCCTTGTGATTAGGTTGGACCCACTCAATAATTCAGGATCATGCCCCCAGCTCAGAAATTCTTGTTTTAATCACAGCCTCATCTTTCTCCTGTGCAGCAGCTGGTGGGTTTGAACAATTACCAGCCCAATGCCTAACCCACAGTGCCACTATTACTGGGGGACCATTAATCTGCCACCATATTCCCCCTAAATAAAAAGAGCTGTGTCTGGATGAATAATAAAACCTTGCCACTAATTCGTGTATTTTGGTTGAATTAACCTGATGTGGAAGAAAAATGAGAGAGACTATCTGCTCCCGTAATGATTTATAGTCTCAGAAAACCTATCTAGAGTCACTATGGTTTCAGCAGTCTTCTGGGCAAACAGCGTTGGAATCAGTCGGAACCGACTCCACGACACACAACCACCATCACCACCACCATACACTGAAATCACTTGCTAAAAATATAGCAATAAAAATGTTGATAATACACCTAGTCTGGGGGTACCATGCGTTTAAGGGTTGGGCTGCCAACCTCAAGGTTGATGGTTCAAAACCACTAACAGCTCCATGGGAGAAAGTTGAGGCTGTCTGTTCTAGTAAAGATTTATAGTCTCAGAGATGCTAAGGAGCAGTTCTTTTCTTTCCTCTAGGGTCTCTATGAGTTCGAATCAACTTGATGGTAGTGTTTTTCTTTGTTTGTTTTTAGACCCTACCCAAATGGAGTCCTGATGTGGTGCTGTGGGCTAATGCATTAGACTGCAAAGTATTGAACTGCAAGGTTCAAGCTCACCAGCTGCTCCTTGGAAACCCCATACAGGGTCGCTATGGGGCAGAATCGACTCAACGGCACTTAACAACAACAACCCAAATGCCATGGCATGGGGGTGACTCTTGGAATTAAGGCCCTACATTCATTAAATATTTACTAAATCCTTCCAGGAAATACTCTAGACACTCATTAATAGCGGGTCCTGCCTACAAAAAGCTGCAGCCAGAATGAAGGACTCTCATAAGGGCAATAACAAAAAATTGTGGGATACAAAAGAGGTGTGCCTTATGGGAGGATAGAAAGGAAGGCTTCCAGGAAGAGAGCCTTCCAGAGTTGAATCTTGAAATACTGATTCTTGAGATTAAAACTCCAGAATAAATCCTTGTCTTTGTGTATATGTGTTTAAGTTTTTATTGTGAATTGAGTGATAGTTTACATGACAGAGAATCAGTTGTTTGTTTTGCTTTGTTTTAAGTTTGTATTGTGGATTATGTGATAGTTTACATGAGAGAACCTTAGCTTTACATTCATCCTATTGTATATCGTTTCATTGCGATGATTACAATTCCCTGCATGCATCATCAAACAGCCAAAGGGTACACCCTGCAAGTCTGCCCCCTGGCCGTCAACACACAGCCCCTCTCCCTCCCAGAGTCCAGAGTCCCCAGCTGCTCTATCTCTCCACGTCATCCGTCATCCTCTCTACCTCCATCTCTGGCATCACTGCTTCTCTGGATAGGGTCCCGCACTCTGCTCTTCTCCCTTAATGGTCCCTGTGTCCTCTATCCTGGACTGCAAGATCAGCCACCCCCCTCCTTTTGTTACAAAATGTCTATCTTTACATTTCCAACACTCACAATTACATTTCCAACACTCACACTGATAGCAATTATTCACTATTGAACCACAAGAGTCTTATCCCCATCTCCTTTCACCAGCCCCGTCCAGACAGGTTGGAAACCACTCAGTGGAGATTCTACCTTCCCCTGTACCCTCTGAAACTAGGCTCCCTCTTGAAAGCTTGTAAGCCAGTCACTTCATGCCTCCTCCCCCCCCCCCGCCCGCCATTTTGGGTAGCCAATGTCTATATTGCCCATCCATGTCAACCCTGTGTACCAAGGGGGTAGGAATGATCTTCACTTAAAGATTCATTCCCTCTTTTGAGCTACTACATCCACAAGCACAGGTCAAGTTCATTAAATTGTAGCGGATTACTCTTTTTTTTCCTCTTCTTTCTCCCTATAGTCGAGTTCTGGTCATCCACCATTGAAACCAGGTCAAATGGGTGCTATCTGCAAGTATGGGTGTTCTTGTGCCTCTCCCCTCACTTCATATCTATCAGCTGGACACTTCACTCTCCGCTCTAGTCCTTTATGGCCATGTCACTGCCTCTGGGCCCAGGAGCCCCTGGGTCTTGCTGTACTGCTGGCCTTCCAGGTCTCCACCCAGGTCCACGGGGGTCTATTGAATGTGGTCGGGCTTAGCTCGCAACTGCATTGCTGTTTTTCCCCCTCTTCTCTTATTGGTGAACAGCGTGGTCACCAGCCAGACCACATGCCTGCTCATGTATTCCCCTTGAGTCTCAGTCTTGGAAGGGGGTTTGCCCTGAGGGGACCTGACCACTTGTCTTGATGGCTCCCAGGCGAACGACTTGCTTGTTCTTTGTAGTACTCAATCAGACTGCCGTTATTGTTTTTTTATTTTTCCTGCCGGTCTTTCTTTCAAGATGTATCTTCTGTTTCTTCTAGTCATTCCAGGCTGGTCTGCTTGTCCTTTCAGTGGAAATTTCCCACCTCAAAATATTCTGGATGAGGATCAGGATTCCACCTATAGTCTTATGCAATGCAAAGGGTCCACAGGAAACCCCCTTCACTGGACAAGTTCTAGCCCCATTTTAGGTATTCCGATCAGTTCAGAGAATCAGTTTTGCACTCAACCAATCGCATCTTATTTCACTGTAATGATTACAGTGTTCTCCATGCACCACAGGTTAACACTATTTGCCTCTATTCCTTGTTTTTCTTTTCTCATTTGTATGTACACAAAACCAGGCAGGAATATATAATTTTTTAAACAACCAAAGGGCACATTTTCCAGACCAGGCCCCTGCCCCCACAGTACACTGTCTTTTTCTTTCCATGAATCTATAGTCCTCAGCTGCTATATTTCTCCATGCCATCACCTCTACCTCCCTCTCTGGTGTCTCTGCTTCTCTAGGATCCCATGTTCCGCTCATGCTCTTCCCTCTCGCTGGTCCTAGGGTCCTTTGTTCCTGGAATGTAAGATTAACTACTCCCCACTTTTTGTCACGCAACTTCTACCTTTACACTGTGACAATCGCAATTAGTCACGAT